AACTTACAATAAAAAACTGCGGTTGCCAACCCGCTCGCCAAGCGTGGCAACTATAGCAAATACCCCCCCCCCCATGATGAGAGTAACAAAGAGACGGCCCCTAGTCCCCTAAGGAGGTTCGGTTGCTACCTAAGACAACTCGACCTGACAACATACAACGCACGCACCCTGCGGACTGACGAGAAGACCCTGGAGCTGGAAGAAGAGATAGACAAGATACGCTGGCATGTTATAGGATTATCCGAGGTCCGAAGAGAGGGAGTGGACACGGTAATCCTCGAATCCGGCAACTTGCTCTATCACCGGGAAGGCGACCATCTACCCAAAGGAGGTGTCGGATTTATTGTCCACAAGTCTCTCGTTAACAACGTTGTAAAGATGAGAGTGGGTCGACGAGGGTTGCGTACCTTATACTCAGAATCACCAAACGGTATTCGCTGAAGGTCATACAGGTTTACGCACCAACCCCGGCACATCCCGATGAGGAGGTGGAGGAAATGTATGAGGATATCTCTAGAGCCATGCGTTCCTCCAAAACCCACTATACGGTGTTAATGGGAGACTGCAATGCAAAACTAGGCACAAGAGAGAACGGTGAGCTGAAGGTAGGGAAATTTGGAATAGGGCAACGGAACCCAAAGGGCCAGCAGCTGGCCGACTTCATGGAGAAAGAGGGACTCTTTATGATGAACTCTTTCTTTCAGAAACAAGAAGTGGACCTGGTCGAGCCTAGACGGTTCGACAAAAAATGAGATTGACTTCATTATGACGACCAGACGACAACTGTTCAGTGATGTCTCCGTAATCGCGAGGGTGAAACCTGGTAACGATCACCGAATGGTTAGAGGCACACTGAACCTAAACGTTAAGTTGTAGAGGTCTCGTCTAATGAAGTCAACGCTCCATCTCCCTCGTGCTCTATTCCAAAGTCCCGAAACCTTTCAGATCGAGTTACAAAACTGTTTTCAGTGCCTAGAAGACTGCAATGAAGTGGACGATATGAATGACAAGCTCGTGGAAACTGTCCATGCGGTCGGAGCTAAGTTTTGCAAGACCCACCGCAGAAGAACACAAAAACTCTCCGATTACACTTTTAATCTCATGGCTGTTAGACGGGAGATAAAGCTACAGTCTTCACCAGATTTGACAGCATACAGGCAACTGAACAGATAGATGCATGCGGTGGGATTTACGCAACTTCAATACAGCTTGTATTGAAGAAGCAGTCGAGCGGAACCAAGGCTCCAAAGTCTTTGCCCAGAGATCTGTCTGCCAGAAAGAGCCAACTGTCAAAGCTGAAGACCGAGTGTGGCAGCATCGTTTCCGGGACACCTGAGATTTTGAGTGAGATTGAGAGGTTCTATGGACAACTGTACACGTCATTGTTGGAACCACGCGCAAGTGTGAGTAACGATCCAAGAGCGAGTTTTATCCGACACTATTCCGAAGATATTCCAGACGTCAGTCTGAGCGAGATTGGAATGGCTCTCCAGCACATTAAAAACGGCAAGTCCCCGGGCGAGGATGGAAATACAGCGGAGCTTCTGAAAGCGGGTGGAAAACCGGCACTTAAAGTCCTTCAGAAGCTCTTTCATTCCGTCCTTCCATTGTGGCACTACTCCGGAGGCGTGGCGCAGAAGTGCGGTGGTCTTGTTCGTCAAGAAAGGCAATAACGCTCTCTTGAAGAACTACAGACCGATTTCCTTTCTGAGCCGCCTCTACGTGCTGTTTTCGAGTCATTACGAATCGTCTCGCACGCAGACTTGACGATTTTTAGCCTCCCGAAAAAGCCAGTTTCCGAAAAGGCTTTAGTACCATAGACCACATACACACCCTTCGGCAAATTGTACAGAAGAGTACAATCTGCCACTTTGCCTTGCGTATGTGGACTATGAGAAAGCCTTTGATTCCGTCGAAATTTGGGCGGTGATACAGTCCCTTCAGCGGTGCCAAGTTGACTATCGGTATATCGAAGTGCTGAAGTGTTTGTACAGTAGGGCTACGATGGCTATCCGAGTACAGAACCAGAGTACGAAACCTATCCAACTGCAGAGAGGTGTAAGACAGAGCGACGATATATCCCCGAAACTCTTCACCGCTGCATTGGAAAATGTTTTCAAGCTACTGAATTGGAAAGGATACGGTATTAACATCAATGGCGAGTACATCACTCACCTTCGATTTGCCGACGATATAGTCCTTATGGCAGAATCGCTGGAGTACCTAAGCACTATGCTCAATGACCTCAATAGTGTCTCCCAACGGATAGGTCTTAAGATGAACAAGGACAAAACAAAGATCATGTTTAATGTCCATGTCAAACCTACGCCAGCAATTGTTGGGAGCACTAAGCTCAAAGTTGTTGACGAGTATGTTTTCCTGGGACAAATAGTCCGACTAGGTAAGTCCAACTTCGACCGAGAGGTCAATCGAAGGATTCAACTTGGTTGGGCAGCGTTCGGGATATTACGGCACATCTTCTCGTCAGGTATACCTCAAAACTTGAAAACGAGATTGTACATCCAGTGCGTGTTGCCAGTGCTGACCTATGGAACTGAGCCGTGGTACTTCACTGCTGACCGGATGAGGAAGCTCAAGGTTGCTCAGCGAGCTATGGAGAGGGCTATGCTCGGAGTTTCTCTGCGTGATAAACTTAGAAATGAGGATATCCGCAGTAGAACCAGAGAGACCGACATAGCCCAACGGATTGGTAAGCTGAAGTGGCAATGGGCCGGCCATATAGCTCGAAGAACCGACAACCGATGGGGAAAAAAGGTTCTCGAGTGGCGGCCTCGTACCGGCTTACGAAGTGTAGGGCGTTCTCCCACTAGATGGAGTGACGATCCAGTAAGACATGCAGGAAGTCGATGGATGCAGGTGGCTCAGGACCGTGTTTTGTGGCATTCCTTGGGTGAGGCCTATGTTCATCAGAGGACTTATGAAGGGCTGTAATGATGATGATGATGATGACGCAGTATGCGAGCTGCGAGGGAATCTGATCCTATTTCCAGCTGTAGACTTAAAACGGCTGTTGATTTAATTTCATGTGTTGAAAAATTTCGGCTTGGTATTTATTTCTTTTTCCGCTCTTTAGTTTAGCACCAAAATTCAATAAAAATTGTGATCACTGATGGTAGGTACAAGGCAATCTAGATTTTTTATAGTTTAACTTACGATCTATATACAACTTCCACAAAATATTTTTCCTAAAGGTGTCTCTGGTTGTGTTAAATTATTTTAACAAAGATCCAAAACGAATAGAAGACAATACTACTATGATTATAAATTTTTCCTATCTATATTTTATTCTTCAATGCCTTTTTCTTAAATCATTTGAAATATTTTTCTTATTAATTATAAATATCTAACGTTGCCATAATTAGATAGTAATTAAAATTTTTGCTCCTATAAAAATATAGTTTTTTATTTTTAATCTTCACAGGAAAGAGAAGAAATAATAGAAGCACTGAAGGAAGAAAACGATCGGTTACTTGCCAAGTTCCAGTGCACTGAAGAACCTAAAACACGTTCTGGATTAAATGATAACTAATTAAAGTAAATAAATAATTACCCCATTTAAAATCCGTTTTATTGGGGAAAAATCACCATTACCAAATGAATAGTAGATGTGTATCATAGGGGGATCATTCCTTTTCGGGGAAACGAATTTGGGTTGGCGCTCACTGCACACGGCTTTGGTATGTGTGGGGCCGTGTGCCTCCTCCAGATATTTTAAAATAGAGGTAAGTGAAACCCTTCTGTCTAGTATTTATATAATTTTGAGTTCTTCCCAAGCGAGAAGGGATAAAATAATAAGAAATTAACTGATGTGAATCTGATAAGTAGGATAGGGGGTAAATTCATTCCTTTACCTGTTTAAAGCCCATTCAGAGAGAAATGGCGTGCTTTGATGAATTGTAACTAAGGTACTACCAACGACTTTCGATTGATATGGGGTGAATATTCATTCTTCCAAGATACATCTAAATCCTAAACTAGAACTAAGTAACTAAACAAATACAAAGTTATATCTGGTAACTGATAATATCCATAACCTAACACGATAATAAAATAAATTATTACAGACTGCATATATTAACAACTTTTTTTTTTTACAGAAGGCAAATAGGGGAAGAACTGTTACAACTGCACCAGTGAACTCAGTATCCGAAGAAAAACTAACAATTTATTTAAAATAGATACTTAAGTTTTTAATAAATACATCGTTTTAGCCCATCGCAAGTTCTCAATCTGACCGTCAATCTATCAATTGGTAGTGGAGCGTCCTGCATTGCACTTGCCGGTATGAGGCTGCTATTTGCCAACCTTTCTTATCCTTCTCCTTCGGTTATTAGATATGGCTTAGTTATACGCCCGGTTTATCGCCATCAACCTATTGCTCCTCCGGTTCCTATAGCATTCTACTACAGATATCTCCATTATGGATTCCTTCACGCAGAGAACCTTCGAGCAAAACTGTTTTCATAGCTCACCGAGTGACTATGAGCTCTTCATAAGGACGGCAATCATGGAAGTCTGTTCCGTAGACGTAGATAATTACTAAGAGATATTTGCTTTTTTATAAACTGAAGTAACAAACGAACTTTTCATCTGATGGTAAGTGGCAATTGCAGCCCAAGGACACCTGCAGCCAGTAATTAGGCTCTCTATACTCTCAGAAAGCTACACAGCAGTGCAAAGCACTGCTATTTGACGGCAAAAATCTGTAAGATGGATCACCTGGACGAAACGTGTAACATTTTCCCAAACTGGCCTGAGCAACGTTCTGATTATTGCTTGAAATTGCACTTGTTTTTTGTCGAATGATTGCCGTTGTTGTTAATTGTCAATGTTGTATACATCTAACTCAGCTGCTAGGTACCATGAATTCAAGGCGAACGACCGGCAAGTAAGCAATCGATTCCTGATGTAGGATTATAATTTTGGTTCCACTATTTGTTTCATAAATGGCAAGTGATAAAATTACAAAAACACGTTATAGAAAATATTTTACTTTAATAAATGCGTAATTATACATATAAGATATTAGTCGATAACATAACAACAAAACAAAACACTTCTAATTACAGAACTAGAAGTGCATTCGTATGCAGATCAAACTTAATGGAAACTCCATCCCGACAATATATTATAGGATACCAAATAAATAATTCATAACCTTCACCTAATCAAGACTACTTAAATATATAGAATTTTAAAGCCGTAATTTATTAAAACATTGAATAAGCATTTCATTCATTTAACCAAATGAATAAGGTCAAAATGGTTGTTCTATTATTAACATACATGTATTGCATTCTTTCGCTACATCAAGCATTTTCATCAGCAGCAACTGTTTAAAGAATGAAAGGCAAGATCGCTTTACGCCCTTTCGGGTAATCGGGGAATTCCTTCTTGTAATTACGATGTTTGTTGAGAGCCCAAACCGTCATCTGGTACATTCCAACAACAGCAAATATACCCACTGAAAAATAATGATAGAAATTATTTATTATTTAATTAGGTATGTTACATGTACACGGCAGAAACAGGTTCTTGATGTAGTAATTTTGGAGACTCGCAAAAGAAGGTTGAACGTATCATTATTTTAAATTACTTTCTAAATTAATAAGGTTTCTCGTTAAAGGCTCGTTAAGAGTAAAAAGAGTCACAAGGCCAATGTGTACAATTTGGATAAGTTACCACCGAACACATAAAACTTGATTTGACTTTTTCGACTACTTCTGAATTATTCAATTATAGTTAATTAAAACTAACCATATTATAATTTACACTCGAACCTTGTAGCCTCAAGGATCCGAACTGAATATAATGATAAAATATGTAGGTATTTTAGGTAGGTAACGACTTTATTCCACAGAGCTAATTTAATGCGGTTGTAACATTAATCGCCTTCATAAATGTTTATATTGTGTATGACAAAAAAATATATTAATGGTTTTATGTGCATGCATTGTGGCAACCACCTTTATAAATTAATTTCTATATATTAAATTTCTAGTCGCATTGCTTATATGTTGATTATTTTTCTTGAAAATGTAATAAGACGTGTGGACGTTAACAAAAATTTTACGTATATCTTTAAACAGGTACCATTATTTAGCGAGGTTACCAAATTGAATACCCGTCAAAGTTTACTAGAAACTTTGCTGGGCTGATGTAAACGCATCGTACTAATTGCAAAAAAGTAATGATACTATCTAATATCGATTCAATGTTGAAAAATGTATGTATTATTTCATTAGTATACGTTTAAAAAAAGTTGTATTGCAGATAATTAATTCAGAGTCATTGCCTACATCTGGCGTTTATGGACAATAAACCAAATAATCAGCAATCATGTAACAAAGAATATTACATAATAAAATCTAAACCAAACGGATGGTATCGATTTTTAATTCGTCGACAGTACCGAGGCAAGAGAGCGGTAAGCGGCGTGTCAGTAGGAAGGGGCGAGTGCATTCCGCTTGAGTCCTAAGTTAACCTTGGCAGGGAATACAATATTTTTATACAATAATACATATTTTTATTTGAAATCAACAACAAAAGCCAATAACTTTAATCTTTTTGCATATAAAAAATAATTTAATAGCTAGTAATAAAAGGCCGCGTGACATGCATGCAAGCGATAGGAACGTTTTAAACATACTACTATCTCCTCTTATCTGTCTGAATATTACAGACCAAGGAAGTTTCAAGATGGTTAGAGCATTGTAATATAAAATCCGAAGTGTCGATATCACCCACTTCTTTAATTTCAAGTGGTTTTTTCCATTTATCTTATACGATTTTATAAGAAGTGGTTAATACAGCCATCTATCTCCTCAGATGGAAGGCGGTATTAATAATAGCTTTTCCTGTATAAGAGTCCATTCCTAGAGAACACTAGCATCGCTCGTAAGCGCATGCATACGTGCTAACATAAAGACACTTCTAATATTGTAAAGGCTCATCATCATCATCATCACTACAAACCACCAAAAATCCACTTCTGAACACAGAATTCCTCCATAAATTGCCTCCTTTGGGGGTATTTCCCATAGTTGCTAAGTTCAGTTAAGTCAGGCAGATTGGCAACCGCAGTTTTTTATTACTTTGGGTTGTTATAAGGAAGATGCTGTTGCCCATCTCCTGTTTCAGTTTCCCTCTTTCGCCCATTGCGACACCCACAGGATGATATTGGGAAGAGAATTATCTTACACCGCCACAAGTACGGTTGTAAAGGTTAAAAATGTATAAATAAACTGATAAGTGCTAATTATTGAACATTTTAAAATACGGTAAAATTCTGTGTAGCATGCCCTTTTTCAATTTTTTGTGATAATTTTAGTTATTATTTAAATTTTAGGAATTTAAATAAATGCAATGTATGCAATGCTGATGCAGTGGTATCGCTTAATATAATAAAATATTTACCTGGGGCACATTTAGTTAAAATTGTGAAAAAGACCCATGAACCAAATTCATAGGTGTAGTTAGGACAGGAGACATAATTGAAAAGTAGAGAGAAGGGGTTGCCATCAGGCATAGGTATGCGTCGCACTTTGGTGCCAGGTGGACGGAGATTTTTCAAAAGCAGGTGAATGCTCAAGTTACCCAACTCGCACAACTGTAAAAAATATTAATATATAAAATTAATCTGTTTCCACAATCATTAAGCAATATCATCATATTATAATTAAAATTGCAGGTATAAAACATTGGACTTTGTTATCATAAGGTCATGAACGTAATGTAAGTACCTACAGTGTTTGTATTAAGAAGGGGCAAAATGTAAATCATTTCAATTACTGAAGTGAACTAAATTTATGGGTTTCATTGCATCTAATTTAAACTTATTTTAAAATCCCTAACATTTCGAGTGCCTTTAAACAAAACTAATTTTACGGATTTTATAGCGTATATTAACTTATTTTATATTGCCGACGTTTCGAGCACTTTACAGCCGTGGTGAACTATGACATTGGGACGTCATACACCTCAGTCCCCCCCATGACCATGGGTACTGTAAAGTGCTCAAAACGTCGGGAATAAAAAATAAGTTAATATACGCGATAAAATCCGTAAAATTAGTTTTATTTAAATGTGTAGTGTTCGCGTAAATGTAAGAAATAATTTCGAAAGCTCTTGAGGGTGTGGAGTCACTGACAAGACAGGCTTTGCAATCTTAAAGCCGTCTTCCATTAAAAATATTACAAGTCACTGAAGAAAATTAGTCAGTTTTTACTAGCCGCCAAGGTTCATTAACCTCTATAAGACACAAGACTGACCAATTTCTCAAATGTGGGTGTGGCTTAATAATCGTCAAAAAATCCGCGCTCCACCGACTGATCATTCAAACGGAAACACACTAGTAAATATCCTGCTGCTTAGCGGCAAAAATAGTTGAAGGTTGTTCTTTATAGGTGACAAATGAGCATACAGTGCACTTGTAAATGGTCCTTTTTTCGTAAGGAAAAGCCTAGGTAAACCTGCAGGGGCATGTACGAGTTATGTCGGACTCGCATCGTCTAATCCCATGGTGTTGTTATTACACATTGGCCACCTATAGACAGGGCCACGGGGTACACTTTCATAGACATCTGTAACCCCGCTTACGCTTTCAGGCAATTTCTCCCCAGAGAAAGCACGCCGGAAAAAACTAAAACCAACCATCTAACCCCGAACCCATTCCCCGAAGAAAAAGGAGTACCCGTAATGATTAGCCTTCCCCGTCTCAGCTGCGGAACTGGTCTATGGCTTCGCCGCCTACTAAGTTTCGACCAAGGAGGGGGTTAATTACTCAAGAACTTTAATATATTTATTCATGAAATTGGGGATTCTAGGTATTCACGGAATTGTTGTTATTAGGCAAAATTATAGGTGCAAAGGTATAATAGTTTTTGAGTTATGATTCGAAATTGGCTTAAAATGGTTTCTGTAATAATAAAATTTTAGGAACCTATATATAACACTGACATGTCTAGATTTTGTCAGAGAATTATGAAAGAGAATTTCTACCCTTTATTCATTTTATTCTTAAAGTTCAAATAAATAAATCAAAAAGGAAGTTATAATCAATACTAATTTCAGTGTTTTGAAGCGATTATATACTTTTTTTTTTAAACGCTACCACCACACTAGGATTTTCTCCTGTATCGTGGGCAGTTTACAAACATAAATTGCACGAGGACAAACATTTTTTTTTTTTATAGGAGAGGGGGCAAATGAGCATGCGGCTCACCTGATGGTAAGTGACTACTGCCGCCCATGAACAACTGCAACACCAGGGGAATCGCAGATGCGTTGCCGGCCTTTTAAAAAGGAGTACGCTCTTTTCTTGAAGGTCCCTAAGTCGTATCGGTCCGGAAAAATCGCTGATGGTAATCGATTCCACAAGGAGGTCATGCGAGGAAGAAAACATCTTCTAAATCGCACAGTGGTGGACCGCCAATCATCCAGATGGTGTAGATGGTATCGGGAGTTCTGCCGCGATGTGCGTTCGTGAAATTTGGCGGCTGGGATTAATCCGAACAATTCCTCAGAGCACTCCCCATGGTAGATGCGAAAGAAAATGCAAAGGGATGCAACATCTCTTCGCAGTGCCAATGAATCGAGCCGATCGGAAAGGGCTCGGTCGTCGACGATTCGCGCAGCTCTGCGTTGGATGCGGTCAAGTGGAAGGAGCTGGCACTGGGGAGCCCCTGCCCAGAGATGGGAACAGTATTCCATGTGAGGCCGAACTTGCGCCTTGTAAAGTTGCAGGCGGTGTGCCGGCATGAAATACTGTCCCGCTCTGCTGAGCACGCCAAGCTTTTTAGAGGCCAATTTGGCCTTCCCTTCCAAGTGACCACGAAACTGCACGTCACTCGATATGTCGACTCCGAGGATACCGATACTGGCTGAGGCAAGAAGGGGAGTGCCTTGAAACTGAGGAGATACGACAAAGGGGTTCTTTTTAGCGGTAAACGCGCAAACTTGTGTCTTCTGAGGATTAAACTGGACTAGATTTAGTCGCCCCTAATCCGAGACTTTGCTCAGCAAAGACTCGACTTCAGACACAAGTTTGTTCCGGTACTCAGCGACGTTTTCCCGAGAAATATTGGCACGGCCGGTGTATAGAGCATCACCAGTGCTGTCATCCGCATAGCAATGAATGTTACCAGTTAGCAACATATCATTGATATGCAGAAGAAACAGCGTTGGTGATAGCACACAGCCTTGTGGAACACCAGCGTTAATAGGCTTGTAGTCAGAGCATGCACCGTCTACAACGACCTTGATGCTTCGATCTGCTTGTGATCCAATTGCACAATTTCTCGGGAAGCCCATAGGAAGGGAGCTTCGAAAGAAGCGCTTTGTGCCAAACCCGATCGAAGGCCTTCGCAATGTCCAGACTAACGGCCAACGCCTCCCCCTTGGACTCTACTGCCTCCGCCCATCTATGGGTCAGGTAGACCAGAAGATCACCAGCTGATCGACCCCGACGAAAACCGTATTGGCGGTCACTAATCAGCTGGTGATCCTCAAGGTACCGGATGAGCTGGCAGTTAATAATGGATTCCATTATTTTGGAGAACAAGGAGGTGATCGCGATAGGCCTATAGTTGGATGGGTCTGAGCGGTCGCCTTTTTTAGGGATTGGGTGAACAAAAGCTGTCTTCCATGAATTCGGGACTACGCCTTGGGAGTAGGAGTACCGGAAAAGACGCGTTAGGACCGGTGCCAACTCCGGAGCACACGTCCTCAGCACAATTGGAGGGATTCCGTCAGGCCCACTCGACTTCTGGATATCCAGGGAGAGCAGTGCTTTGCGAACCGAGCGCTGTGAGAACAGCACATCCGGCATGGAGCACTCACACCGCGGGATGGTCGGCGGTGTTTTCCCCCCGTCATCAAGAGTCGCGTTGGACGCAAAAAGGGAGCCTAAAAGGTCGGCTTTGTCTTTTGCGTCATGGGCCAGTGAGTCATCCTCCCTGTGCAGAGATGGTAGTGATGGCTTACAGAAATTCCCTTGGACAGCCTTGGCGAGAGACCAGAATGCACGGGTTCCCGAAGGAAGGCGAACTAGTTTCTCGCCAATTCTGCCTATGTGCTCTGACTTTGCCTTGGCAATAACTCTTTTGAAGGACCTGGAGGCGAAGTTATACTTCTTTTTAAGTGTGCTGGTGTTTACATCCCGAGTCGCCGAAGCCGCAGCCCAGGCTTGATAACACTCCTGCTTACTGCGTAATACAGTCTTACAGGAGCGACCAAACCAAGGCTGAGATCTGCCTCCGATGGGTACCACAGATGATGGAATAAATAGTTCCATTCCCTGTAGCACCACATCAGTGACAGAGTCAGCAACAGCGCTGGGATCGTCCGGCGAGAAGCAAACCCGCCCCCATGGGTAGGATGCAAAGAAAGACCGCATTCCGTCCCAATCCGCCGACCTGTAATGCCAAACACGGCGGCAATCTGCAGAACGCAACCGCGAAGGGAGCGTGAGTGGCACCACACTCCGGATCAGACAATGGTCCGAAGAGCCGAGAGGGGCATCGACGGAAACCTGATATCCGTCCGGATGAGAGTTCAGCAGAAGGTCCAACAGGGAAGGTGTATGATCCTCCACATCTGGAATCCGCGTAGGCGAAGTAACCAGTTGTGTCAGACCATATGCCAAGGCAAAGTCATAAACAGATCTCCCCGCATGATCGGTTAGACGTGAACCGAGCCATTCGGCATGGTGGGCGTTAAAATCGCCAAGGATCACGATCTCTGCGGATGGGACCTGTTGTAGTAAGAAATCTGTAGCCATTTGGACGTGGTCGATGAGTCGGTCTGTTTCGGCATTACCGCTATGGGACCTATAGAGGCTCATAGGACCTATATAGGACTCAACGAGGGATTCTCCAGGGGTACTGGTACCCTCTTGGGGTAGTTCATCGTATAATTCGGCTTAGAATTCGAAACGCAGAAGCAGAGCTTCTACTTCACGCCGGTATTCTGTGAAGTCGTGGTACCAACCCGGCTCGAGCCGGCCCATACATGCAACAGCAAAAACTGCTGTGTGGCTCTACCACCGTTAAAATTCAGACCCGTAACAATTATTTGTAGGCCATACAAATACTTATTCCGTGCGGGATTCGAACCCGCGGCCCCAGCGCAACAACTCATTGCTAAGCTACTGCGCCACGGAGCCGTCTACGTATACTAATTTTGTATTATGCTGCCAAACTAGTGTTGTATAACATTTTTATACCTAATTAAAATAGTCTTAATTGTAAAAGCATTCTTAAAATTTTTAAGAAATAAATAATTAAATAATTAGTGAACAATACTCACAATGAAACCTGCAAGACCAACATACACACAAGTGCTGCAAGGAGCAGTATAGAGGGGATGGTTTATGTGGTATGCAATGTATAATGCAAACAACCAGTAATATGTACAGTTCTTGAACAAATTTCTAAGTGGCATTGTACCATGTGAGAAACGGTGCACAAACAATGTTTCTAGAAGCCGCTTAGCATAATGAAAAGACCAACAAACTGCTGCTATGCTAAAACAAAAATTAAGAATTAAAAATGTTACAATATGATGATGCTGTTAAACAGTGGAAAACTGTTTACCTGATTCACTGTGATTTACAGTATCAATTTTAAATCATACCTACAAATATTTGCTTAAGGCTTAAGGTATTAGCCACACAGTATATCGGAATACCTACTGATTCCCGAAAAAGTGGCCGGATTAAATTATCTTAGTGGTTAAGGAAATAAATTAGCAGCAATCAAATTAAAGTGCTTTAGTGTTTGTAATCATCCAATTTTAATTTATGGGTCAATTATTTACAAATAACTCATTGTGGTATCTTTTTCTTCATACGAGGGTGACACTGAAGGCTCTTAGAAAATCTAAAACTGAACAAACTAGCAAGTTATTAGTTTTATTATATCTTTTCAAAATAGTGTCCATTTACATCAATACATCACTGCATCAGATGGAGCCAGTGAGAAAAGCACTTTGCCCACTCGTCCTCAGGAATCTCTTCGACCGCATTTTGAAATGCAATTACTGCTTCCTCAGCGTCCATAAAACTTTTTCCTCGAAGTTTTAATTTTTATTTTCGGAAATAAATAAAAATCGCAAGGTGCAAGGTCGAGTTATAGGGCGGGTGACCCAGTTTCCACGTCTGATGTCGCCAAGTAGTCGATTGTTTGCTTGCACCGCCAGTGTGCGACGAGGCATTGTTGTGGTGAAGGAGGAGCCTTCTGCGAGGTCGTTCCTCCTGAATTTTTTCCAAGACATGTGGCAAACAATTGTTAGTGTATCACTATGCAGTAACTGTTTTTCAATCATTTAAAACAATTGTTGCATAATGACCTGACCTTCTAAAGAACGAGGCCACCATCTTTTTCCCACGCTTCGACCTCTCTTCATTTTAGTTGGCAACTGTTCGGAAGGAAACACCTAGACAGCAGACTGTCTCTTAGTTTCAGGATCATAACAATAAATCCAGCTTTTGTCACTTGTAAGTATGTCGAACACAGCATTTGAGTCACCTCCGTTAAATCTTTGAACCATTTCACAACACCAATCAAAACGATGGAGTTTTTGGGCCTCTGTCAAATTATGAGGTATCCACCTGGCACAAAGTTTCCTGACCGCTAAATGTTCATGGAGGATTTTGTGCATTTGACTCATACCGATGCCTAAGCTTGTCCGAATGTGCCGATAAGTCACTCTTTTGTCAGTCTCTATCACACGCCGCACAACACTGATGATTCGCCGTAGAAGACCGTCCCTCACGCAGATCATCAATGAGATTAGAGCAACCACGTCTAAGCTCATTAAACCAGTTGTAAACAATGGCACGAGATGGGGTTTCATCGTGAAAGGCCAATCAAGGTCTATCATAACTTTCTTGTTGACTTAAATGACATCGAAAGTCATAAAAAATCATTGTATGAAAATTTTCTCACATTAAGTTCATGCTAATGCGACACAGACAATTTTCAATGTGCCGCCAAATTGTAAACAAATAACAAATTAATAAAATACATACACAATAATATTGGCAAAGAGTTCTGTTTTCACAATTTGAACTTATTTTTTTATTATATCGTTTACAAGTGGCCAGTTCTAAAAACTCTCAGTGTTGTCCTCTTACGTCTCTATATAAACACTTCAATTATACACTACATATTCATATATTCCATTCTAACTCACACACTTGATAACTTCCATGCAACTCCTGAGTTTCAAAGTGGATACTACTACTAGTTGTAATGAGATAAATACTAGGTAAATATATACAAATGCCTCTTACCCCTAATTACACCACTTTGGAAGTAGTGGTGGGATAGTAGTACCGAATTTAAGAAAATTACAGTACTAGCTCATGTAAAAGCCTAAGGTTCTCCCTAGAATTGCTGACTATGACAATATACTATATGCCTCACACAAGCCACAACCCAACCTTAAATGCGATGACCCCAGAGCCACCATGACTCACCACTATATAGAGGTCGCTGTAAGACAGCATCTACCTTAAGGAGATCAAACTGGCTTTTTAAACTTACAACTCATAACTATCACAAGAAATATAACAGACTACTGAAAACCTATCATAAGGTTGTCTATATAACACAGAGAAAATCTCCATAACTAACATCACAGAAAACATAATTAGAATAAATGTCACATATTCAGTACATGAGAAGATAATGTTAAGAAAGTTAAAGGTTAAATCCAAAAGTTGTATATTAAATAAAAATTTGAAAGATATTTACTTAGCGACAGTTCCAGGTGATGAAGATTGTTCTCCGTAAAAGATCCATGGTCTTTGATAAACCCACAAGTAAACAAATAGTGGGCCGGCATACTCAGCTAAAAATACATTTTTGTATGACACTTGTGGTCCAAGGTCTGAGACAAATAGCTTAGCACCATCATGAACATTTATGGATTTTAAAGTTGTTTCATCTTTTAATGATTTCCCCTTAGCTTCTAGCTTGATTGATTGCCTTTCAGGATACAGTGACTTCTTCAAGTTTTGATAAATTTTTTCCTTAACATTTTTTACAGTGGCATCTTCATTTAGTGTAATCTTTCCAAGAGATTTTGACCCAATAGTAGTCAATATCTCAATCTGTAAAAATGGTATGTTTTTTTTAACTATATTCGAATAATTATTCATTTATTTTAACATGTAGAACTTTTCTTCTTACCTCCATGTCTTATCTTTTTAAGACTCTTGAAGAAATTACTGTACTTTATGGATTTCTTATGCCAAAGATTTATATATACTAAAAGTATAAAAAGGTTGAGCTGTAGGTTAACCAATGACCCTTATGAATAATTAATTAAAATTAAAACGTAGTGTAATAATGTTTTCTCTTAGAATTTGTGCCAACCACAGAAACAGAATACTTTTACTCCTAGCGTAGACCGTAGAGTGACCATTCAATAGGGATGGGAAAAAATAATCGATTTTCATATTAATCGATTATTTTTTTATTATAATCGATTTTTGGAGTCGATTTTTTTATAATAAATATCGATTTTTAATAAATCGATTTTTATGTAAATTACGCGTTTCAATCGATTTTTGTAATCAGAGTCATCTGTACGATGGATGTAAAAACGTGAAGTAAGTTCAATAACATGAATAAGTCAATCAAAAGACGGCGCCACCTTTATGTATCTCTATGTATGTAAAACAGTTTCACTTTCCGTATGTTTTCAACAGGTTTCTTCCTCCGCTAGGATAGGATACTTTTAGTATTCTGTGGTTTTCTTTCTTTCTTTGGTTAGTGTAAACAATTATATATAAACAATAAAAATGTCTTGTGAAACGCGTAAAAGTAACTGACAGAAGTATTTTATAATGAAAAAATGATAGCGGCTAACACGTCAATAGGCAAAAATAGTGAATTGAATCTATATATTGCGGCACCACTATCAAATCTCAAGGCAGATGCCCTCAATATATGGAGAAGCTCTGAAGGAACTTTCCCTAAACTAACCGAATTGGCTTTTAAACACCTCTCAGTGATGGCCAGTTTCGCGCCAGCCGAAAGATTATTTTTCAAAGTGGGAAATATTGTCAGGAAAAAACCGTATCTTGGGAAAGAGACGAAGAAGAATTTTGGTGAAATGATTGTTTTTAAAGTCTAACTGAAAATTAATGGCAATATTTTTTTTTTCTTCTTTTATTTACACAAATTTAAAAAGGATTTGTCTGATATTTTAGTTTTGAGATCAAAAGGTTGTCGTCGGATTATTTATAATTATATTTTTATTTTATTTTCATTCTAATCTAATGTAAATGATACTGAACATTAGTGGCATAATGATATTTAGACTTTTTGTTTGTTCAAACTTAGTTTAAAAAAAAACTATCGTTTACTAAAATTATGGTTTCTTAATGTTTTCTTATATTTACGCGAAGAATACACATTAAATGAAATTAATTTTTACGGATTTGATCAATTAAATCAATTAATCAAATTAATTTAACTTTTTAATTCCTGACGTTTCGGGTGCTTCACGGGAAGAACCGAGGTCTTTGATGTCCAGATGTCATAGTTAGCCTGGCTAAATTCAGTTTTTGAATATTAATTTTTGGTCCGATCTACGCAGAATGAGCTTACAGTATCTTGAAGTCTTACAATGGTATGCTTGGGTTTGGATTTAATTTTATTAATTATAGGATGCCAAGCAGATGGCAGCACCCATCCATCTTCTCTATTGAAATTAGGATGTTTTTTAATTTCGATAGTCTCGCGAATCATCCTTGGTAGGAATCGGTGTTCTTTTGCGAGTATTTGTGGTTCAACTATGACATAGGGACGTCAAACATCTCAGTCCCTTCTGTGACCATGCGTGCTGTAAAGCACCTGAAATATCGGGAATTAAAAAGTTAAATTAAACGAAATAAAATCCGTAAAACTTAGTTTAATTTATCGTTTCTGTTTATTTTGGGTGTAATAAATTGTTAAATGGCACTGAACATTTGTGGCAGTAATTATTTTTAGTTTTTTATTGTTCAAAGTTATATGTTAAAAAAATTGTTCTGTAGTTTATTTCTAAAACCAGAACATTATTTTTCGAATAAAATATTTTTTTTTGTCGCAAAAATCTATTTTTTTTTATAAAAAAATCGATTTTTCTTAAATCGATTATTATCACAAAGCAAAAATAGATTTTTTTCAATCGATTTTTTCACTCAATGTCACATCCGTACCATACAACTTTACAATGACAACTGACAAGATTTTTTTTACTGGCTTCACGGCTCTGGGTTCTAGCCCTTCTGAGAACTGACAAGACAAGTGTACAAACCACAGACTAACATGATGTAGTACAAACCCATAGACAGTAGTATCTTATAGACTAAACATTCAGTGACGTCATCAGCGTCTGAAAGGAATGCACGTATATAGTTAAACATAAGAGTAAGGGAGAAGCAAGTCTATGTTTCTTTCTTTTTCTAGGTATGCGTTTTTGATTGTTTTCCCTCCTTTATTTGACATTAACGATGTCAAGCTCATTTGAATAATATTGATATTATAAGCAAACAGGTAACTGAATTTAGTGTTTTTTGTGGATCTTAGTTATTAGGTAAGGTGAAAAAGATGGTAAGTTGTAGCATTTTAGGATGCAACAGCATCAGTCAACGAAAAATTGATAATATTACCTTTCATCGGTAAGTTTTTTTTGTGTTTACATTTGCTACTTGTACTGATTAATATCTATTGTTTTGAATATAAAGTGTAACATTTCATGTTTTTAATGAACTTTGTGATGTATTTTGTCAAATATTTGGACTCCCAGATTGTAAATTCTTCATGATAATGCTCCTTAATTTGAACGGTCATTCGAAAGCTTAAAGTCACAACAAACGTGTACTTTTTGATTTGGTAAGATTATAGAAACTAGGGATATCAGCGAGTACAATAATGTTTTCGCATTGTTCAATAATAATTGTTTTTGTGATTAGTAGTTATGTCCATAAATATGAATCACATAATGTTATACATATACATACACTTTTATGTTCAGCTTTAAAGGAAACTCTTTATTGCCCTACAACTCTTCAATCATTTTCCATATTACATAGACGTCACAAATAATATGTAAGTATCAACCTGAAAACATGTTTGGATTCAAGTACATAAACATTGGGCAAAGTATATTTAATTTCACAAAATATGTATTGCCTGAAATCAGATGCACAAAATTTTATTGCATTCCATTAATTTTATTATACATTAGCAACAATTACATTACAATATTTATTAAAAAAAATATGTCATGCTAATATAAAAATAAATATAAATATAGATAAAATAATAAATAAATAAATAAGTCTTGATCTTAAGGTACACAATAACATAACAACATAAGATAATATTCTCAATTAATGATGTGGAAAAAATTTGATGATAATATACTTACCGTTACCATTAGTCAGTATCAAAAGTTATAGGTTTTGTGATAGTTGCCTAGCTTGGCAGGAGAATTGGCAACTGCAGTTATTTGGAGACAAACTGTGTGGGAGGTCTATGTTCAGCGGTGGAGGACATTTGTTAGGCTGTAAATGTATTAATTAACAATATCTAAAGCTTAATATGTACATATTTTTTTCAAATGTTTGGTATGAATAATATTATCATTACATTTACATATACTTGCTATTTAATTAAATCAATTGATATTGTTTTAATTGTTATAGGTATTTTATTTATGCACAGATACACATACTTGATTTTTTTTTGTTAAATACCATGATATAAAAGTGTACTATATATTTAATATATTAATTTCTTAAATATATTACTTCACAGCTTTCCTAAGGAATCAGCGTGACGTGTTTTTAATTCATAGCACGTTAAAGTTAAGCATTTTTTTTTGTTTATCGTTTAAACATGTTGGACTTTAAAATTAGTCCATGTAAATTACACTAAATACCAAATTATACCATAACTTGAGCATGTTAAATTTCCACTGAATACAAAACTATAACTGATCTTAAAATACTTCCAACATTTCTTTCGCCATTTTTACGTAAATGAATAATAAATGTACTTGCGGGTAACTTATTATCAATTGAACAAAAATATTTAACTTTTAGCTTAAAACATTTCACTTTAAACTTTTACTCTACACTTTAATGGTATGTCAATGTCGTAAATAGTACAACAAATTTCATTTCGACATTTAATAAAAACAAAGACATCAACGCGAAGTCTTTCACAAGTTAATAACTATCACACTATTCGAAGACTATATGTGGACAGTAACAGGGACTTTATCCCACTTCTGATGTTAACACAATGAAATATAAAATAATTTATTATAAATAAATATGCACTTATGACACAATATATGTATTCAATTAATATTTGTACAGAGCACTCAATATTACAGTTTTTGTAATCACCACACTTAATTACACTTTGACTAATTTGACGCGTGTTCTCAAAACAGAATACCCAAGAATCATGATGCACCCTAATTTATACATTTCCCTTTCCACTTCACATTTCCCCTTCCACTTCTCTTCCGTTGTGCACGAAGAGGGGCGGACGATGTTGGTTGCCAACAGAACTTTATCTGTACTACCATGTTTTATGCAAATAAAGATTTAAATAAAATAAATAATTAAGTAATTTAAAGTCCTGACCTAAATATACAGATGAATAATTTATTATGCAATAATAATTGTAAAACTGACTGGGAATGCCTACGAATGGGACATTTAGTCCTTAATCCCTTTTATAAAGGTGTTATAAACATTAATGTGTAAATAAATTTAGAAATAAATGTAATAATTATGATAATTTCTATTTAATTGTCATAAAAATAATGTAATAAAGATGTTTTTGACAAGAGATAAGTATTACCTATCTAAGTATAGTTTAGGAGTTGTACCTTATTATTTATACAATTAAAATATATTATATACAAGGCAAATAATATATATATATATATATATATATATATATATATATATATACACATATATACACTCCCTTCTAACGACCGGCACCCAAGAATTTCTGCCATGCAAAAGTATAAATCAAGTTTACAAATGCATATTTTTGAGAAATTCTAAGGCTACTCAAACCAAGAATTACAACGAATGCTCTAGAAAGAAGACAAAAATTTTGTTAAATTTGTTGTTTATTAATGTGATGAAAAATTAATAAATAACCGTTTGTTTATTTTAATTTTATTGAATTATATTTAATATATAATTGTGTTTTCATTTGTTTTACTTAATGTAACATTATTAATATTTCTAAATGTTGTGTAAGTACACAAAACTTAGTTCTTTTTCTTTTTTAAATTTCAATATATTTTCATTTAAATAGAATATATATCTTTACAGTCTATCAAAAGTCCACTGTTGAACATAAACAT